GAACCCGTGGCCTTGGTGTTATCAGCACCACACTCTCCCGAGTGAGCCACAGGTCAGCCCCGTATGGAGATCCTTTGAGTGGCCCCCTATGGAAGGGTCCTGTAGAACTCTTAACATGGGGAAGGGGATATGCTTCTGTTTTATTGCCTACAGTTCCTATTTGGATTCCCGCCTGATTAGTAAAACCATACCATGAGCTGGAGAAGAGCCTGTGCTCATCAGAATCCACTGCCAGGCCTCCAACACCTGTCTCTTGATTCAAATGAAAACACTCCATACATGCATTTCCCAACTCAAAGAAGAGATCATGGTCTTCTTCCGAGTATATGAACATTTTAATATTACTTTTGTTGCAAACTCTATATGGGTAACACCATGTGTTGTCCATCAAAATATTTCCTCACTTGGGCCGGCCCGGTGGCGCACTGGAGAGTGCGCCGCTTGGGAGTGCGGCGGTGTTTCCGCCGAGGGTTTGGATCCCATGTGGAGACCGGTTCCCGCTCACTGGCTGAGCGCAGGGCGGGCGCAACACCGAGGGTTGCGATCCCGTTACCGGTCAGTAAAAAAATACAAAAAAGGAAAAAAAAAAACTTCCTCACTTAATATTAGTTCTATTTTCATTATTAAACAAAAAACTCAAGCTTGGAATCCTGTTAACCTACCCATGGACTCATGATTCACCACTAGAATTAATATCTAAGGCTTTTGCTCATCCCCATCAAAAATGATTTTGGGGAATTTTAATCACTTCTGTTATTGCTATTACAGCCCTTGCTCCCACAGCTGCTACTGCTGCAGTGGCTTTAATCTATTCTCTTCATACCGCAGCTCATATCAGTAGCCTTTTGCAAAATGTTACTGGGGAATTGGAACCTCTTACTGTTATAGATCAATAAATTCTTCAATGCCTCAATGCTTTAGAGGCAGCTGTCCTTTGTTATTTTTGTCTTTTTTCGTGACCGGCAACGGATTGCAACCCTCAGTGTCGCGCCCGTACTGGACCGGGACCGGCAACGGGATCGCAACCCTCGGTGTCGCGCCCGCCCCTCGCTCAGCCAGTGAGCCGCCGGTCTGTATGTGGGATCCGAACCCTCGGCAGGAGCACCGCCGCGCTCCCAAGCGGCGCACGGTAGCAATGCGCCACCAGGCCGGCCCAAGGCAGCTGTCCTTTGGATAGGAGAAAGACAACAAGCTATATGGCAACATTTACAATTGGAATGTGATATCGGTTTTAATAAGTTTTGCATAACCTGTATACCACTTAATGAGTCTGTTTCATGGGAAGAATTTTTTTTAAATATTAAAGGAACATTTAGTTCATCTTTAGGACAAGATATTTCAACCCTCCAAAGTTAAAACAGCAGATGTTTCAATTACAACAAGAAGCTAAAAATATTTCTTGGAGTGAATTAACTGACATTGCTAAATGGTTGGATCCAAGGTCCTGGTTTTCTTCTCTAAATTTATGATTTTAGTTCACAAGTGCTTTTATGGTTGTTCTTTTCTTTTTATTTCTTGCAGTCTTAAATGCTCTATGCTGCCTTTTCTGAAGAATTCAACACGCGGAAGCTATGATTGCACTTAAGATGCCTCAACTTCCTTTCATAAATAAAAAAGGGGGGGGCTGGCCCGGTGGCGCACTGCTACAGTGCGCCGCTTGGGAGCTCGGCAGCGCTCCCGCCGAGGGTTCGGATCCCACATACAGACCGGCCGCTCACTGGCTGAGCGAGGTGCGGATGCAACACCAAGGGTAGCGATCCCGTTGCCGGTCCCGGTCCGGTAAGGGCGCAACACTAAGGCTTGCAATCCGTTGCCGGTCACGAAAAAAGACAAAAAAGGAAAAAAAAATAAATAAATAAAAATTAAAAAAAATAAAAAAGGGGGATATGTAGAGGGTTAACATCTTGTGGTATGTTCTGCTGAGAGGACGGTCATGACCTCTGGCCACAGCCAGAAGAGAGACATGGCACCAGTACCCATGCAGGACATGCTGCACACAGTACTTCTCAGGATGATAACACCAGCTGTGGGAGACGGTTTCATCCTTGAACTCAAGGGAGTAAGCAGTATAGTCTATTCAAATAAGATTTCAGGAGTTTCTGCCCCGGGGGCTCCCCCTCCTATATCCCTGTCCCCTTACTTTTCTCACGGCTTTCATAATAAATACCCATTGGACTTCGGCTCTTGATCTTCACTAGCTTAGTGAAGGGTCGCTCCTAGTCCCTCGGTTGCAAATGTTATTGTCTCCGAGTAGTTCGTTACTATCTCTGCTTCAACATTTGCCACAGAACCACTTTCAGTTCCTCCAAAGAATCTACTTAAATTCTCAAATTCCTGATCTCTGTATATTTTACTAATGACTTTAAAAGGACAATACGGGGCCGGCCTGTGGCTCACTTGGAAGAGTGTGGTGCTGATAACACCAAGGCCACGGGTTTGGATCCCATATAGGAATGGCCGGTTTGCTCACTGGGTGAGCGTGGTGCTGACAACACCAAGTCAAGGGTTACGATCCCCTTACCGGTCATCTTTTAAAAAAAATAAATAAATAAAAGGACATACGATGAGAGGGTTACATTGCACATCCTAAAGCAAACAAAATTCTTCATTACACATTTCCATATTTCCTAGTGTCTCTCTAGAGCTGCCAGGCTGTGAGTGAGGTTTCTCTCCTTTTCTAGGCCCTCTACCCATCTTGCCACCATCCTGAAACTGCCAGTAGACTTCCGATTCTACCATCCACAGTGCAGAAACATGCAGCCAGCCCCTTCTCAGCTATACCCAAACCCACATGTCCAGACTCATGAAATCTGAAAAAATGCAAGGCCTTGCTTGCATTTACCTGAACCTCGGGCAGAACCTGTTCAAAGACCATTTATTCCTGAGAATAAATACCCCTGGGGTTTTACTGACCTTCCCCCACACCTCCAGTGGCTTATCAAAATACTTCTTTCATACACACTGGGCTCTCATTAAGAGGAATTTGGGACAATGCTTTTTAATCATCTCCATTCCCCACCCCCACTCCCCCTTCTTCCTGGGGTGCTAGTGTCAGCAGAAGCTGATGGGGAAGTGAGGCCTGGGAGGCAGAAGAGGAAGGAATAGGGGAAAAGAGGAAGTTTGGGAGGGAGGCCTCAGAGGAGGCGGGTGGGAGAGGAGGAGAGCCAGCAGACAGAGACTGCCAGCTTGTCTGTCTCCCTATCTCTACCAGCTGTTGAGCTATGAGCCAAACCAGGGACTTACAGGGTAGGAAACATGGAAGAGGCAAGACCACAATGGCAGCAAGAGATGGACAGACCTGGGCTGGGGGGCTAGGAGGGCGGTGAGATGGCTTAGGAAGGCAGAATTGTGAAGTCCCCAAGGCTGGGAATGGTGGAGAGGAGAGAAAGGGAGGGGTGAGGATTGATTAACCTTTGTACCCCTACAGGAGGAAAAGCTTTCGGACTGCTGAAGACCCAGCAGGAAAAGAGACTGGATGAGATCAACAAGGTAAAAGGAAGAAATAAGAGGGGCAGAGCCTGGGGCACGAGGGGCTCCAGACTGGAAGGGCCCAACCTGGCTCTTACTGCCCCCTCCCCCAACAGCAATTCCTGGACGATCCCAAATATAGCAGTGATGAGCATCTGCCCGCCAAACTGGAAGCCTTCAAGAGTGAGGGGAAAACTATAGGCGAAAGGGCTGGGGTTGGGAGTTGGATTCCCACAATAGTGGGGACAGCAGTGACACAAATTTACTTTTGTGGTGGTAAGAAGGGAGCCTGCCTTTATTGCACCTCCCCCATCCTATGCCTGTTGCAGTCCCTTTCCCTGGCCTGCTCCTCTCAGCACCCCTTCTAGTTCCCTACACCTTACCAGGGCCTCTCAACTCCCCAGCCCCACTTCCTCTGCCTGCCCCTCCTCTGCCTTCCATATCTTCTCCCCCAGTTAGCACTTGGTCAGCAACCCCTTCCTCAATCCCCTGCCAGAGACCCTCCAGCCAACTGTTATCCCCTCTGTCCTCTCCCCTCACCCAGAGAAATACATGGAGTTTGACCTGAATGGAAATGGAGATATCGGTGAGAAAAGGGTGATCTGGGGGAATGTGAAGACCTAGGAAGAAGGAGATCTCTCCTGATGGGCTCCATTCCCCAGGGTTTGGGAGACGGCTTACCTACCAGAGTTGGAGGAAGGGGAAGGGAAATGTGGAGGTAGGGGAGGGGTAGAGAGAGGGACTCTCTCTCTTCTCCCTATCCCCATCCTCTGCTTCCAGATATCATGTCCCTGAAGCGAATGCTGGAGAAACTGGGGGTCCCCAAGACCCACCTGGAGCTAAAGAAATTAATTAGGGAGGTGTCCGGTAGCTCTATGGAGTCATTCAGCTACCCCGACTTTCTCACTATGATGTTGGGCAAGAGATCCGCCATCCTAAAAATGTGAGGGTCCAGTTTCAACCTCCCCTGTACTTACCTATGTTCTCCTCCCACCATCCCTGTCCCCAGGCTCAACTTCTACACATTACTCAGCATCCATTCTTCCATCCTTAGAGGGATCCTTCCAAGGTCCTATCCCCATCCCATCCATGGTTCTGGTCCCCACAGCCCCCAGCACTTCCACTCCTGCCCTTCCTCCTCCTCCCACCCACACAACCTCATCCACTTCTGAACTCTCGCAGCAGCATATGATAATTTATTCCCTTGAGAGGAGTGACCTCTGATCCCTGTGTCTCTTCCCATCTCAACCAGGATCCTGATGTATGAGGAAAAAGCAAGAGAACAGGAAAAGCCAACTGGTCCCCCAGCCAAGAGAACTATCTCTGAGTTGCCCTGACTCTTGAGTGAGTGTGTGTGTGTGTGTGTGTGTGTGTGTGTGTGTGTTGGGAGTGAAGGATCTTCTAATAACCCCAACTTGGAAAAAAAAGACAAAATTGTGAGCCACACTAAATAAATTGTCCTTCCCCTCCATATCAAGTCAGTTTGGTTTTTATTTGGGGGATTTTTTCCTGGGTTTGGGAAGAAGGGAAGCATCCTTGAGGGAAGGGCAGCAGGGATTTGCCTGTTTGGTAGAAACAGACTAGGCAAAAAGCAACCCAGCACTCGGAGGGTTGGAGAGTCAGGGGGTTATTACACCGGTGGGTCCAGACAGACTAATGCCTGGAAATATCTGGACCCCAAGCTTAGGTCTCACAGTATCCCCATGACAACAGAGGCCCTCCCTGGACATGGGATGGTTCAAGTCCCCACAGTCAGGGGCCATAGCCTCCTAAATGATCCATCTGCTAACTGGACAGCTGACACACTGAAGGTAGCATGGGAAGCTCAGGTAGCTGTATGCTTCCAGAGGCCCCTAAACTGAGCATTGCTAGATTTAGCAAATAATAATATAGGACACCCAGTTAAATGCGAAGTTCAGATACACAACAGATAATTTTTTTGTTTTGTTTTTAAAGATGAGCGGTAAGGGGATCTTAATCCTTGACTTGGTGTTGTCAGCACCACGCTCGCCCAGTGAGCGAACCGGCCATCCCTATGTGGGATCCGAACCCGTGGCCTTGGTGTTATCAGCACCGCACTCTCCCGAGTGAGCCACGGGCCGGCCCAAGGTCTCACAGTTTTTATAAGCGGACTCTTCCAGGGCTCTTTACACATTTTTTTTCTTTTTCTCAGCATTCACTAGGCTAGCAGCAGCCTGTGCAGATAAGCTCTTGTTACAAAAGCCAAAAATACAAGCAAGCAATGATTGAATACAAGCCAGACTAGTGGAGCAAGCAAATATAGTTTCAAGGACAAGATATTGCTTTCAGAACAAAGCAGACTTGTGAGAAAATTATTTTAGCCTTATTTTCCAACACCCATATGAGCAATCCATCAACAATTCTGTAGGGTGTCTACTATAGTACGTGGCTTTGTGCACGAAGAGGGACTCCAGATGTATAAAACAGCCTTGACCTCAAAGAATTTAGGTGGGATGAAAAGATGTGTATAGACAAAAAAATATCACCCAGGCCCATAGTAGCTCTCACGAAGAGTGGGGATTATTTTGAACCAATATCCTCCACCCCTATAAGCTTTGTGACCTTGACAAATTGGTCAGCTTCTCTGAGGCTTTTGTTTGAAAATGAGGATAATATGATCTACGCTGTCGTGCCTCACATATCACAAGTCCTCAATAACATTTAAAACATGAATGGATGGATGGATGAAAGAATAAGTGTTATCAAATGGAGTAAAGGATTCACAAAACTATAAGGCCTGATAATTTAAGAGTTAAATGAGACATCGAGGTCCTTTTGGGGACAAGCTACAGAAACTGAGTCAATCTAATGAAGGGGAAAAGGTGTTATATTGAAAGGCAACTGGGGGCAGATACTGAGGATACAGGATCATTAAGTGGCAGAAAGGGCTAAACAGCAACCCCAAGGAAGGCAGGAGGCTAAGAGCTCCAGGGCCTTTAGTGAGGCTGGAACTTTTTCCTCCTCCACGGGGTCAGAAGTCAACTCTAGCAACCCCCAGTCTCTGGTCACTATTTCAGATTCCCTGACTCCCAGAAAGGAGAGAATTCGATCAGCCCTCCTTGTTTCATGTACTGAGGACAGACCCAGCCACTGAACCTCCCATGGTGGCACTTCCCAGAGGTGAAGCCAGGAAGGCATCCTGGTGTGTGATTCCTATAGAGCAACTACAGACTAATTGTATAGGACTTCAGATGCTCAATGATCTAAATACAATCATTTCTTTTGCTACTAAGAGTCAGGAAAAAAATAATATAATCATCGAGTTGAAGAAGATATCTGAATATAATGAAATAAATAGTTAATCTTTATTGAGCACCTACTACGTACAGGATACTCTTCTAAATGCCTTCCATTTATTAATTCATTTAATCTTCACAACGACCCTGGTGACACCAAGAAGGAAATAAAGGATCTGAGGCTTAAATCATTCATTCATTCAGGATAAATAAATTGGCTTATATTCGCATGATGTACTATTATTATACAGCAATGAGAATTAACAAACTACAACTACACACAAGGTGGATGAATCTCATAATGTTGAGCAAAAGAGGACACAAAAGAACCCTTAGTGTACAATTCCATTTGTATTAAGTACAAGAAAAGGTAAAACTCATCTATGTGGTGAGAGTCAGCATAGTAGTTAGCCTTGTGGAAGGGTGAGGGCAGTGACTAGCAGAGGCCCTAGGGCAGCTTCTGGGGTGCTAGGTAAGGTTCTGTTTTGGGTTATATGTTCGGCTCAATTTGTAAAAATGTATCGAAATGTACATCTTTATATATAATACAGTTCAATAAAAATGTTAAAAATAATTTATTGTCCATCACCTATGTGCCATCCTTTCCTCTAGGTGCTTGGGATGTAAGAGTGAACCAAACAAAGATCCTTGCCTCTGTGAAGTTTTCATTCGACTTTGGAAATTGGTGGGGGAGAAAGACCGACAATAAACGTGATGAAAGTTTATACAATATAGTACAAGATGACAAGTAGTATGAAAAGAGAAAGTAGAGCAGGATAAAGGGGATTGGGGTACCAGGTTGTGAGGAAAGGCAGGGAAGATCAAAATTTTGAATGGCTGATGAGAATAGGCCTCACTGAACGGTGATAACTGAGCAAAAGCTTCCAGGAGGGAAAGGAGTGAGCTGTGCCTGTTTCTGGGGAAGAGCCAATTGAACACAGGGAAAAGGAAGCAGAAAGGTCCCAAGGTGAGATATGCCTGGTAGTAGGTAAGGAGAGCAATAAAATCAGAGACATAACAGAGTGCCAGGTCATGCAGGGTCTTGTAGGCCATTTTAACGACTTTGGCTTTTTTCTGAGAGAAACAAGGAGCTACTGCAGGACTTTGAGCAGGTCTTTTGATACCTGCTTTGAGAAAAGGCCAACTCTAGTTGCTGCGTACAGACTTTCGGAGCAGGGGTAGACTCAGGGAGACCAGTTAGAAGGCTGTTGCTATAACCCAAGTGAGAGATACAGGTGGCTTTGATCAAAGCATAAGCAGTGGAAGTAAAAAGGCTGGATCCTGGATATTTTCTCAAGAAAAGATTTCCTGTTTGGTTGAAGAGTGAGATAAAGAATGAAGTTGACAAGGATTCCAAGGTGGCTTAACGATATTTTTTAAAATTGCCATCAGCTGAGATGGTGAAGGCTGTGGGGTAGAGCTGATCTTCAGGGCCTGGACATCAAATGTTCAGTTTGGGACATACTGAACTTGAAATGACCTATTAGATACCCAAGAGGAGATGTCAAGTACTTAGCTGTGTATACAAGACAGGAGTTCAGAAAAGAGGTCTGTGATGAAGATATACATTAGGAAGTCATCTGTGCATAAATGCTATTTTAAGTCATGAGCCTGGATGTCCTGACAAACCCAGTTTTGGTAGAGGGTGGGAGTGAAGGCTTCACTGGAATGGGTTTAAGAGAGAACAGAAGGAAAGAAATAGCTCTTCCAAGAAATGGTGCAAAGGGGAGCAAAATGGAGTGGTAGCTGTCCAGGGACAGGGGACAAGAGAATCATTTTGAAAGTTTGAAAACTGAAGTCATCTTAAATCTTAGCGAGCCTTGAGCTAAAATTCTTTTCTGATTCCTGCTAACTTTTCTGCCTTCATTTTCCATAATGGACATGCAGTCCCTTTATTTAGCCACACCAGTCTAGGCACAAATCCCCAAATTCATACTTCCACTCACTTGTTCACTGTGCCTGAGATATGCACCTTCTCCTCAAACTTGGCTAAGTTCTAACTAGTTCATCTCTCTCTCTTTTTTTTAATATATTTTTTTCATTGTACATTTTTATGGGGTACAGTTTGTTATTTCAATACACTCATATATTGCATAATGACTCATACCTCTTAAGTTTTTTTGAAGCATTTCTAAACCTCTCCAGGCACGGTCAGATTTTATTCCTCTACTTCTATAATATTCTCTGTATATCTCCGAGGTTTTCAAACATACTTGTTGAATGATTTGTTGAGTGGGTAGTAGGTCTGATGGGAGCACAGGGCTCCACAGTCGAGTAATAAAGACAAAGGAGGTAAATAGTACTGAATTTCGTAAAATAAAATCCAGTGTTAAGAGAATACAAATTGCCAATAATACCAAATATAAAAATCTATTCATGAAAATTATAGGTTATAAAATTAAATGTCCGTCTTAGTCTTTTTTTTTTTCCTTTTTATCTTTTTTCGTGTCCGGCAACGGATCGCAACCCTCAGTGTCGCCCCCGTACCGGACCGGGACCGGCAACAGGATCGCAACCCTCGGTGTTGCGACCGCACCTGGCTCAGCCAGTGAGCGGAACCGGTCTGCATGTGGGATCCGAACCCTCGGCGGGAGCGCCGCCGCGCTCTCAAGCGGCGCACTGTAGCAGTGCGGCGCCGGGCCGGCCCGTCCGTCTTAGTCTTAATCATTGGTTGTCGATATTGTGATGAAAAAGTCATTCCTAGCCCATTATTGTTCAAATGATTTACATATATTTTGCAAATAAATAGAATGCCTACTTTGCGCGATGCGGATGATACACTCCCCCTGACCCTCGGACTGGGCTGTCTGTCCACCTCGTTTGCATGATGTGATTTAATAAACAGAAGGCCCCACCCCTCTGGTGCTTTCACCTCTCGCGAAGGTACGCGTGAGCTGGGATTCTTCCAGTCTACGTAAGCACCGCCCCCTGGCAGCTAATCCCTCCTCCCGCCCCCGTCCTCTCTCTCCGTCTCCTCCGCTGAAAGCAGCACGGTCCTTGCATGGTTTCCTTCCACTTTCAGCGTTCCTACGTGTCTCCGTTCCTCTTTCCACGAACGCACGACTCACGCCCCGCCTTTTTCTCCCACCATTCGTCGTGTAAATCCTGCGCCCCAATTGCCCGACCGACCGGCGCCGCATTCCCGCCCCCTCTCACGTCTCAACGGCAGACGCCGGGGCCCCGCCTCCTTAGCCAACCGGAGTCCTAGTGTCTG